AAACAAAAAAGTTGTATTGATTCAATTAGTTTTCATATTTTGTTTTCGATATAATGGTGAAATTCAATTTAATTTTTTTAAGTTATGTTCAATTATTAATTTACTGTACAGTATTTAAAATGTCATTAGAACTGTTAAATTGTTGTTCATATACAGTCAGATTTTATATTTTATTGATGTTATAGTGCCAACTGGCTAGAAAAACATTATAGTATTACTTCTTTTCAATTCAATATTAATTGTCATACGAAATATATATGTATATGTAAACTCTTTTWGATAGTTGGATATTAGATATTATATACTTCTTCATGACTAAACATCAGTTTTCCATACACTATAGTATAGGTATAATTACTATTATATTTCGKTATAAGTCAATGATATTTTCTTATTTGTGTCTCTGGAGAAGATAGTCTCAAATCATTTCATGCGTTATTCATACAGATACAGATAATTAAGCTAGTATATTAGAATGTATGATACAAATTTTCAATATCTCATAATATGTAAAATAATAATTTAATGTGTTGTAACTTAAAAAAAAATATTTGAATAAAAAAGTGTTCCTGATAAGYGATTCTTCTGTATTCATTTTTTATTCAAGTATAAAATACTTCAAAAAAATAAATAGTTACTTACCTTAAATTCCTAATTTATTATTATTTATAGTAGGTATTCTAAGAAAATTTTTAACTTTTTGCTATTATGGATCTCTAATTTATTTAGATACTWTATCAATAATAGTAATTACTTAATGGTTTTATGTTTTTTGTGTGACATAGTATTTCTAAGTGCCTAAGTATTTAAATTTGTGTTTATTGTTTTATACTAATAAAAAAAAACTGTTAAACATATTATATGGTTTAAAGTGAGTATAATAAATGGTATTTAATAAATATTTACTTATTAATAACTAATAATATATTTTTAGTTTAGATGAATAAATTTATTACTCTATAACTACCTAATTCATTAATTTTTTTCTTATAAAAATCTCATAATATTTTAAGTTTAAATGAGATACCTATGTTGTCTTTAAATCCTATTTATTGAATTTACCTTCATTCAATATTTCTAAATATACACTTTTTTTAGTTTGATCCATAAATCTGATGAAGGAATATTGTCAACTGTAAACTCAAGGAATTTATTAGATGACTCGCTCATAGAAGAAAATACATTAGATCTRTCTAATTTGAATCTATCACCCTCTCAGTGAGTACCATACTTTATAGTGATATTTCTAATGATTATAATTAAATGTATAACTGAATTATATTAAAATGTATGTTTAAATAGAACATTAAAAGGAGCCCATAAAATAAGTTTAGAAAGTTGTTTAAGGCGTAAAGTTGTTTTGAAAAATGGACGAAAACCAGCTGTGACAACTTGGCAACGTTATTGGATACAACTATGGGCATCGGTATTAATTTATTATTCACCTAAATCGTTTAAAGGGTAAGTGTATKATTTAAAACATCAATATGTATGATGTATGCATGCAAGTATAATATTGTCTATTGTACAGTTGTAATAGGAATGACTTTAAACGA